AAGCATCATTTACTGAGTCAGGAATGTTTATACTTCAGAAGTTCTGCGTCACTTTTTCGTAAACAACCATTTCTTCCCTCAAAAAACAACAGCTAGTACATTTTGAAACTAAAATATTCAGCATGTACATACTCAGTGTAAGAAGTTTTGCTACTCCGTGCTTCGCTACAATATACAGCAACGGTTTTTATTTATACAGTAGATATACCAACTTTCGCGAGGAGTGCGTAAGTATTTTTGACGGCAGCATCAGCCGCGTCACAGGTACTTCCAATTGTTTCAGCGTAACAGTCAGAGCTTTCAACTGTCAAATCACTCATTCCATGTAAAGAGCCTCTCAAATCCCGAAGGATTTCGTCCAAATTCGAAGCGATTGCATTGGCATCACTCTCAATACTAAACATTCATAAGTGAGTGAAGCTGCAAAATGAGGTCTTGCAAAAAGTTTTTCAATCATGCCCTTAGCTACAATTTCACTGAAAATTTCTGCTATACGTAGTGAAAGTCACTAGTACAGTATCCCTACTTAATGAAAAGTTAAAGAAATACCTGTTTAGAATCCTAGGTGCGGCAAGACGGCTGGACTGTGAACTATGACTACCATCAGACGTGACGTCAAGCGCCTGATCGCTCGCGGAAAGACCCGCGTGCATATTTTTCAGTAAATCATTCGTATCAGCAATACTCCTTTCGTCGCTACCTGGTGTGCCAGAGGTACTGCTGCTGGAAACGCCCAGTGTCGACAGAGAGTGTCTATTTATTGAAGAAGTTTTAATTTCATCTTTCCCATCCTTACTACTTCCAGACATGCCTCGACAAAAGATCCTATTGTTAATACATTTTTATAAATTAAAACAAATCCAATATATCATTTGTGTACCAGTTACACCAAAATATACACACGAAGCACAAACACATCATAATAACACATCGCTCGGCCAGGCGAAAATAAATCTTATTGAGACAAACAAACCTAGTCTTTCATCCAAGTAATTCACAAAAGGAAAAGTTAAACAGCAGTTACAACCATGGCCACAAGCACACAATTAAAACCTTTTTACACAATTTTCCCATCCAGCACCTGCAATCAAACCAAAACCACTGAAGCAAAAGAGAAACTGATCCAGGCCCATTTACTTGAAAACACAATTGAAAAACGTGGTGAATAGCGGAATAAGCAATTATAGACCATTTATTACTTTGCTTTCGATTACCAAAAAAAGGGAACTTGTATGCACCCAAAAGCTCTTTAAACTAAAAAAACCCCGACAAAAGCTTGACATTTTTCAAACACGGCTACTAAGATGAGCTTTAGGTTATTACGCTAGTAGCCTGAATAAAAAGATAAAGCCAATATACAAGCGCTACGTATGGGAAACTTATAACCAATTCTCATTTTTTTCCATGAAGTTTCTGCTTGAACTTCGCTAACAAAATTTAAAGTCTAAGATTATGTTTATTAACCATTTAAGTACAACGCCTTGTTTATTTTTCAAGAAACGTGGTGGACGAACTGTACTTAATTGACAATCACATTCAATGTTTCAAAAAATAAATTGCCCTATCTCATCCTTCGTGCTGCATAAATACTGTCACAAGAACAGAAAAACGTTCCAGAAAGCTGCAAACCAAGTTTTCAGAATAACAAAAGTAAATTCACAATTTTTAAGCAAGGTGATTTACAGATTTTATCCCTACAGGATAAGTTAAAACGTTTGACCTAAATATAGAAAAAAACGTTGCTCATTTCAAAAATAAAATTAAACCCCTTGAGCTACATCTCATTTTCAAACTTGTTTTTTAACTAAAGATGGACTTCTTAATGCACCAAAGTTCTGCACACCGTCACGAAATTATTTCTAGGAAAGTGATTAAAGAATTAAAAAAGCGGACTGCAAGTGATCTTAGAAATAGGCCACGTGACTAGGCAAAGAAACTGAAACTAAATAAACGAGATACACTTTTTGGTGCTGAGCTTATTTTCAAAAACTTCTTGTGTTGAATTTTGTCATTCAGCATTCGAAGTTCCAGTTCGCAAAGTTAAAAAATCTTTGCCTAGAAATGTGAAACGAAGAACTTACTACTCTTCTTCACACCTGTAAAGAACTGCAGATCTTCAACCATTAACTTATTGAACCTTCGTCTCCCCTTATTACGAACAAAGACCTTACCAACGCTGCCAACGGGGAAGTCGCTCAGTAACTGAAAATTCTCGAAGAGACAGTAGATCTCCCTTCACGACTGACCCATCTATTCAAATCTTTTAAAAACTCATCCTACTACATATAAGTCATATTAAGGATCACGTCAATTATCCACCATTGTCTTAAAAGAGCAACTTCATATATTTTTGAAATACCGTGCAGCTGAACGTTAGCATATAAACCGCTGGCGAGTTTGAATTTTTTGCCTAACTCAATATACGTCGTCGAAGACTGGTCTTAGAGAAGACTTAATAACAAAGAGTTCATTAATGTTTGAAAAATTAATTACCAGTGAAAAGGCACAGTCTACCCACTAAACTTCCCTTCGATCTCCTGTTTCATTTTCTACCACTGCAACTTCCAGAGACTGTACGTAAAAACAGGAGAACAAAATAAATGTTCGCTAGAACAGAAATTTTAGGCTAAAATTGTTACACTTAAATGTTTTAAAAGTTGAGAACTGTGCGCCAAAAAAGAAAGTTTTTGACAAATCCAATTTGAAAAATTACGTTAGACATCCGCATTCCAAAACCAACTTCTTTAGGAGGAAAATAAAAATGAGATAAAGTAAATCAAAAACTACCGAAAAAATTCTTACACTGCTAATAAATAATTATTTAGGCCTTTGAAGGCAAATCGAGGATCAACCCATCGAAGAGAAAAGACGGTGAAACATTTTTTATAAAAAAGTAACGGATCTGAACTTCAGATGGGCATTTGCATCAAAAACAGCACCGCATCGTGCTGTTTTACCAAAGAACTGCAAGTACGAAATTGTTAGCCCGCCTTCCCCTACCCCACTTTTACCCACCGGTTAATTGTAGTCGTACAAAAAACAAAAAAATCTAGCAGTTGAAATTAACATATCAAAATACCAAATTGATAGAATCGAAATACCAGAACAAGAAGCTCGGGAAGCTTGAACAGCAATTAACAACACCAGACTAAAGTGTCTCATCTTTAAAGCTACCTTAATACTTCAAAAACGTTTAATCAATATCGCCTTACAGGAATAAATTAAAGTCCAAACCAACTTGGAACTTTGCCCAGCAGTAACTCCAGTGCCTACGGGTGCTCCCATTCCTTGTACTGCATGGCGTGTGAAAACAGTGGTGCTCTGTTACTGCTGTCGTTTCCCACATGGGTTTCAGTGGACGTCTTTGGGCATAGAGACTTTTAAACACGTGCACTGTTTAGGCTCTGAAGCACTGTTGCATATAAGCATTTCCTTCTTCGAATATTTCTTCAACGTTTCTTCAGCAGTCGATAACCTGACTTTATTTCCCTGAATGACAATGGTGCCCTTGACCCATTTGACCCACCTGTATTACTTTCGGTCTTATCTATGCACTTCCTGTCAACTTAGATGGTTTGATTTTAAAGTTCTGTCTTAATTCTTAACGGCTTTCACAAAACCACTCTGTCAGTCGAAGGAAGTGTTATGGGTAGATACTGCACTTTGCAACTGTACGACGTTTGATTTAGGCTTTGGAAATCATTTCTTTCTCTCTTGGAACTACATCAGTTACTTTGTTACTGTTCATAGTTTGACCATTTGCAGGGTGTACGCGTTTCAGCCAAAAAAAAATAGTTGCCAAGGAATGATTTTAAAATCTTTGTTTCAAGGTGCTCATGAAAAAAAATCATTGACAATTGTACAAGCACGTTTTTTAAGAAGTCTTCCTGAGCAACCTGAGTCATGACATACATTGGATCGGTGATGAAAATAAGACCCTACGATTATATATATAGATGTGTTTGGATAGATTAAACAGCGGCCAGAAGAGTAAGCGGAAAGGATCTATGACTGATTGGTCAGAATTTATCAGGTCCCCAGAATTACCGTTACAGAACGTAATCACTGTCTATTATCGCCTTCGGCTGACAAAGTGGTTTTGTGAAACATTGGCAGAATTAAAACGGAGCTCAGGTGCTAGACGGTCAGATTTGGTAAGAAGTGCGCAAGCAAAACTGGAACTTACGCATATGACTTAGTAGGAACCAGGAATCCTACACAGAAAGATTGAAGTAGTTTAAAGGCAAGCAGTTCATGTTCAGGGTTAGTCACGCTCAACTGGACTGACAACAGCTTTCTATGCAAGTGCACCTATATAAGTCTGGTCATGCTACTTTGAGCACTTTTAGTTTGTTGTAACTCACGGCTGATAGTCTAGCTAATTGCGGGAACATCGGACTGGACGAATGGAGAACCGTTAGAAAATGTCTGCAGCAAGTATATTACACGCATGATGAACTTTTACCAAAATTCCATTTCAGCAAAGTATCACTCTAATGTGGGAAAAAATCTGAAAAAAATTTTGAAGATGAGTGTTTAAAAGTTAAGTGCTTATTTCCGCATAAGCAGAAACAGAGCAAAGAAGTCTGAGGCTTCCTTACGGCTCTTCATTTAACCAAGCAAACGAATCTATTACGAAGTGCCACTTTTCTTCCGCAGCAGTTAACCGCTAAGATGGAAAAGAAAACAACTATCCACGCGTAGAGACTAACTTTTTTTTGTTTTTCAGAAGAAATTCCATATTCCAGTCACCGGTTATCCCGGACTACAGAAACTGGCAATTATGTATCCTTCTTTTGAATGTTTCGCTGTACGACAGCGAGAAGTAAAAAAGACGAGTCGAAAACTCACAAAGACAAATTCGTTTATTTCAAAAAACAAATTTTGACAGAAAAAAAAAGACATTATGAAAAATTGGAATCAGACCTTAGCGTATGATAAAGCGTTTTTCAGTGCTTACTTCTTGTTTATTCAGGAAATCGCTTGATTAGATCCTGAGCTATTGAAAAAGCGACTAGCGATCAAGAAAAAAGTAAAGACTACGACACAGCTGCGGTCACACTTGAGAATGCATTGAGTAAATTGACAAATTAATATGAGACGCCAAGTTCCTAAAATTGTTCGTCGCTTATTTATCAGTACACTAAGATGGGAAACAAGATTTGTAATTTGAAGGAAGACGTAAGTAAGCTCAACTATAAAACTTCTATGGTTCCCTGCATTCTCAAATAAATTCTTCCTCTTTCGATTTTGCTACTAATTTACCCACACCTATAAAGTTTGATTTTTTGTTGCCAATTTTCCCATAGTAACTATTCGCAGAATCAAAAAAGGAAACTCGCTAGCTGAAAATGGCTGCGGAGCACTTGCTCGACATTATTTTTCCATGATTCTCGGCGGGAACACTGAGCTCAGTATGTTCTGTGAAAAAGAGTGAGCCTTTAAAAAAACCCGTGAGATCACCAAATGACGAAATGACTAAACTATCACTAGAAGCTATTCGGTGATTACGTTTCAAACAAATTTTGTAGCAAGCGCTAAAACTTTAGAGATTTGCATGCGATCGCGCTTTAAAAGCAGTTTCGACGGTATAGGTGCCAGGATTCGAGTCCCTGCAGGATTACCATCCTCATCCTAAAAGTTCAAAAAAAATTTATGGAAAGAAATGCTTTAATAAGTTCTTTCGTATATAAACAGTGCACAGACTGGACGAAAACATGTATATTACCAGTAGTACAATATTGTTTGTATCTGTTGATGGGATTCCATGCTTTCTGTAGTGCACGTGGGTATTTGCTCCAACTACGAAGGCTTTTCTCATTTCACCACGTATAGCGACCAAAACCTAAGGCGCAAAATAATGCGTTTCAGACACAACGGCATTTAGAATAAAAATTCGTTGCGAGTGCTTAGAGTTACAAATAAACTAGCGCGACGAACAAGTATATAAAACAATATAATGACTTTAAGCCACTGTTCACAGACATATGAAAAGTCTCACCTTATCCCCTAATGTTGCGTGCGGCATATGTTTTTTACGATACCCTTGTTTATATACGTGTATACAATAAGGTAATTTTCCGCTCATATTTGCTTCTTTACCCATCTCCGAGTTGTCGACAACAAGCAAGCGCGTCCGCCGATGAATTCCTGGGCAAGGCGGTCTGGAACGATGCCTGCTTAACTCATACCTAAAAATTACTCATATACTTCTTGAAGTTCCCGTCTGTACTACAAAGGACATGAGAAGAAAAGGTAGAACTGCGATGGGATGATGGAATAAAAGATGTAGTGAACGAGAACCCGGACCACGATAAAGACTGAGATAGAGGTGTACAACAAATCCAAAAATAACAAAAGCACGACAAATACTGCACTCAAAGAGTAACTCTGAAACAGTGAACAGAGCAGGAGAACGCATGTTTCTGGAATAGCCCCACATTACTCATTCAGACTGTATGGTAAGAAAAATGAAAAATTTTATTGCGGTCATTAATCACAGGAATAAAGTAAGAGGTCGCTACACGTAAAAAGCTCCATTAAACTTCATCTTCTTTCTTTTAACAGGATCCATGTTCACATGTCCGTACGGGCAATGTCTACAGCCATTACCGCAACATTTCCCGTTCAAAAGCAGTTGTGAAATTGCCATTACAGTATAACCAGTTTCTGGGTCTTTATAAGTTAGCTTATGCTGCTTTACTGCTTTCAAATGAACCATGTATATTGTCCTTTCACTGCTCCCCAAACGAGTGTAGCTGACCCAAGGAACTTTTGCCTTCTGAATAGAGTCTTCAAAAAGCACATAATCTGCTAGCAACTCCCTTTTTTCTCCTTGCACGGTACTGTACACTTTTTTGCCAGTGTATCGAGGGGGTGCATATAACGGCGCTGCTTGTTCCCGCGGCAGTTCTACATCACTAGGTTTTTTAAAGGTTTCCTCTACAGCAGACTCCTTCTCTGATAGGACTGAAACGTCCCCACTGTGTATGACGGATGAGCGCGAATAACTTTCGTCCTGCGGGTTTATTCCAGCTTCAGGCTCTGACGCACTCGAAGAGTACCACTGTCGCCAAAAACTTCTGAAATGCGCGGTAAAAATCAGCTGTAAAACAGGAGACCTAATTTTTAGTTACTGTACAGATACAAATTATAATTTGGATAAGCTGATTTCTACCACACATTTCAATGGAAAAACTAGTAAAACCTTCCGTGATAGCTTAACAATGAAGTTTTGAAGAAAAATTCATCTTTTTTATGTCTGTATTTATGTCGTTCAGCAAGGAAATACTCATAAATTTTTTTCAGAAACAGTTCTCAGATTCAGTCACATTGACAAAGGGGCTTTGTAACTGTACGGCATAGCTTGTTACCAGAGACCACTCATTTATGATAAATGACTTTCTTGCAACTGTTTCACAGGAGACAAAAAGCGACTCCCTGTATAAGCCTAGGTCAGTGAGCAGCCTACAGATAGGTGTTTTAAAACTCTGTACGTTTTAAACCGCACTGCAACTGCATTAATTAAAAGCTTTTTTTAATAAACAAATATTTAATATCTGTAATTGTCTAAACTAATATATAAATGACTCACTCTGGTTGCGGCCACCAACGACCTGAGTTTTTCAACGCCTTTGAGATCTGCAGCGGTGGATGAGATGACAGAGATAGTCTCGGGAAAGCTGATAATAACGTGATCATAGGTGATGAATGGTTAGTTTTACCTTAAAAAAAAATTGAAGGAGCAATTTCTTTGGCTCTTTTTGTGACGACAACGAACAGATTATGAATTTACATGAACAAGTTGGTCCTTAAACGGCAAAAAAAAAAAAGAAAAGATTTCACAGGAAGCTCATCAATTATTACCAGTTGGACCGTTTTAGCAAGTTTACCAACCTAGGAGGATCAGTCAGCACCTAAAACAATTTTTTCTCCAGAAAGGCTAAAAAAATGATTGCTGTTGCAAGGCAAAGAGGTATTAATACACACACATTTTATCAATTAAACGAATTCCACTGACGGAATAAACTTTACAACACGTACTACTTCCACTACTTCGTTAATCCCATTATTCACAGAATCTTTTACATTAAACAGTCTTGACAGCACTAAATACCGTCCGTGCATATAAAAAACAACTTCTGGTGAAAGGTGCAATGGCATCTGGCAAATTAAGTTGCAGCAAAGCCAATACTTTGCTGAAAACAATGCATTGCTGGGGAATCACAAATCCAGTTTCCCAGACTGGAACCACCTCTTTGAAGACAGCATTTTCTGGCAATGCCCCAATGCGGTTTATTGCTTCCCTAAGCTTTTCGCAGTCACGGCATGATCACCTCCAGAGGGTGACGTTTACTTTGCAATTTTTTAAAGACGAATTTCAGATTATGAAGGCTTTATTTGGTAGCTAAAATTGGCATCATATGAAGTTATGTGGAGGTTATTTATCGGACCGCTATTTTTTTTTTTCTCTGCTATTTTTGACTCTTTCCCCGGACTTTTAAAATCTTATTTTGGTGCGTGAATTCGACAGATCCTTTTTTTTTTTTTTTTTTTTTTTTTTTTTTTTT